TGTGTCTTGGAAGTGACCGAGATTCCAGGTTGCCCAGCCCCCCTGTTCGGGGCACGTGCTGCGGTTTTGGGCCTGCCGTCTGCTCCGCCCGCTGTCGGTCACTAGCTTAGAAAACCCCCTGTGCTCTCCTGCGGGCCGCCCCATCTCCAGCCCCCAGTGCCTGCTGATCTGAGCTGCCCCTGGAGCAATGACAGAAAACAGCCCACACCATCGCCACGCACTGAAGTCAGCCCGACACCTCCCCCACTTCCTCTCTGTGGAGGGACTGGGGCTCAGTTCCCAGAATGGCCCCTGGCAGGGAGCCGCGCGGGAGGGAGGTGGCCCAGAGCCTAGAGCTGCTGGCAGGCTTGAGGGCACAGCCTGCCAGCTTCCTGTTCCCCTCATCCTGCTCTCTTCATCCTGACGGGAAGCCAGAGGGTACCGATGCCGTCAGACTGAAACTCAGAGACGCGGCAGCTTCCTCAAGCGCATGCACCTCAGAGCTTCCAGAGCCGGGGCACACGGCCACGCCCGCAGGCTGTGCGTCTCTGGGATCAACGTGGAGAGAAAGGATGCTCTGAAGACCCAGGAAGAAGCGAGAGGAGCAAGGAATGAAAATGATAACTGCTCTTCCACCTCAACAGTCGTGGGGGGGATCAGACCTGGAGGCTTCCTTCTAGGTTTCCGACACATCTCTACGCGGAAGGTACAGAAACTGCTCGAAGAGGAAGGAAATGAGAGTCATCCAAGGTGCGGAGACTGAGGTCTCGTGTCACTGGAGAGTCTTGACTTTAGATCTGGGTCAGCCACGTGACGGGCATTTCTCAAATCAGTCTCTGGGGGTCTGTCTCCTTGATAAAGGGAAGAGGAGGTTTGTGGAAGATGAAGGTGCGGACTAGACATACGGTGCCTGTCTTCTGCGGGTTCGGCCCCAACAGCCGCCCCCCAGCCCTTCCCCCTGCTCCTCTTCCCCCCACTTCTCCTTCCCTGCCGTCCCACAGAGGAGCCGCAGAACGCGAAGCAGGGGCAGCTCTGGGCGGGAGGTCACAGCTGAACTCAGAGGTGCTGATGGAAGCTCGGGGGCTTCTGAAGCCCAGGAGAGTGTTAGTCACTCAAGCCGTGTCCGACTCTCTACGACCCCGTGGGCTGTAGCCCGCCAGGCTCCTCTGCCCTTGGGATTCTCCAGGCAGGAACACTGAAGTGGGGTTGCCGTTTCCTCCTCCAGGGGATCTTCCCGACCCAGGGATGGAACCCGGGTCTGCCGCATTGCAGGCAGATTCTTTACCCTCCGGGCCGTCAGGGAAGCCAGGAAGCAGAAGGACAAATTGAAGTGAGGAGGAAAGCAGTGGCTGGAAGCAGTGGTTGCTCGGAAGTCAGCGCAGTGTCACTGCAGCAGGCACGGGAAGAACGTGCTTGGAGAAAGCCCCGCAGAGCAGCGAGTCTGAGGGCAGAAAAGCGCCCTTTGCTATAATCACTGGAGTTTACAGTGCTCTTGGAAGATGAGCTTTCAGTATGAATGTCTGAGTGAAAACGTTATTACAAGGGCCTAAGAAGAGAGTGTGGTCTCAGGAAACAGAGACCACAGACGTAGAAAAAGAAAATTTTTTAATTGGCAGTGATAAACAACAAGGTCCTTCCGTGTAGCGCAGGGAAGTACACCGAATGCTCTGTGATAAAGCACAGTGGAAAAGAAACTAAAGAAGAATATATGTGTGTATAAACGAGTCTCTTTGCTATACAGCAGAAATTAATACATTAGAAATCAACTATACTCCAATTCAAAAATGAATAAATAGAAAATAAAACCAAAAAATGCGCACCAAGACTCAAAGAAAGAGACGGCAGGCACTGCAGAGGGCAACGGGCGCAAGGGCAGCTTGGCTGAACCTCGGGAGTCAGCAGACCCCCCTGCGGCCCCCACCCACCCCTGGCCCACAGCTGATTTCAGCTGCAGCTGTGGGGCCAGAGACCACCCACCCAGATGGTACCCGTCTCAACCCCCAAAGCCTGGTTTCCTGACTGCAGGCTTTCTGCTCAGCCCTCAGATGCAGCCCAGGAGGGCAGAGGGTGAGGGCCCCTGGAGGACCAACAGGGCCAGGAACCAGCCTTCAGAGACGGGGTCCAGGTTTCCTGCCAGCATCGGCCTCCTGCCTTCTCCTCGTGGGCTGCCAGGATTCAGGCGGCCAACCAGCCTGGTTTCCCAGAACGTAGAAACTGCAGGCAGTCCCGAGTGGGCCGGGATCTAACGGAAGTAATCGTAGAGTCCTATCCCAAGGCCACGGACATGGTGCCCAGAACCAAGGTCCCCTCCCGAACTGCCTGAGGCCCTTTGTAATGGTTGCCAAGGCTCCCCTGATCTTACCAGCCAGCTCTCAGATCCCAAACTAGGCAGAAACGCCCGTACTCACCCTAGCTCACTCTCACCAGTCTCCGAACGCCAGCCTTCCAGCAGGACTTTCCCTTGTCTTGAGGCTCCACGAGTTGACTACCAACCCACGAGGAGCATCAGCTAGCCCTTGAGCTGGCCCATCCCCAGGTCCCGGCGTCTCTCCCTAGCCTGCTTGGAGGTCGGCCCACGGAGCTCACAGCGCCCTCATCATCTCTGCTCTTCGTTCTGAGTAAGCTTGCTCCCTTCTGAGACGCTCTGGGTCTACGGCCTTGGCAGTAATGGCCCCCAGGCCAGGGTGCGGGAGCCTTCGCACTCAGACCTGCTTAGCGCAGAGCATGGTCAGGGGACAGGAGGGGCCTGGGACCAGGATGAACAGGGAAGGAGGGGGTGGCCAGCTGCCCCAGGGCCGGAGAGGGGACCACGGGGAAGACGCCGGCAAGGAAAAGGAACAGCCTTGTTCTCAGTCGCGCTGAAAGGGAGGCTGTGGGCCAGAGGACGTAGGGTGGGAGGAGGCGGTCTCTGCAGGTGAGGGTGAGGGGTGAGACGCCCCAGGCTTCCCTCCCCACCGACCTCCCCGCACGTGCTGCAGACAGGAAGCCTCGGCTGCCTCGCATGCCCAGGGAAAGGGAGCTACCTGGTCTAAAAAGCAGAGTCCTGAGAGGTGATGGAGGGAGACGGGAGCTGGGAGGAAGGAGTGATGGGGTGGGAGAGGGGGCTGCCGAGGGGACGGGGAGGGGGCGTGGGGTTAGGGTTAGCATTGAGGGGGTCGGCTCTACGAGGCTCCAGGGAAGCCGGCGGGTCAGGGGGGAGCAGGGAGGTGAGGCAGGCTCCTCAGGGGCCCCAGAGCATCTGGAATCCTCTCCTCCTGGCCGCTGACGTCGGAGCTCCTCAAGAAGGAAGCGACCCCATCACCCAGACACACACACTGGTGCCCTGCGAGGGTCTCAGATGCCGGCCACAGCCACTGCTTTAAAGACGACTTTGCTAGAACCAATATTCACTTTCTTTCTAATGCCTGGCATCTCTGAAGTGGGGGAGGAGAGGAAGGTTTTCAAGGTTTTGAGTTGACCATGTGAAAATAGAGACTTCTTTGCAAAAATTTTATATGGACCCCAACTTTAAAGTTCTAACCCTGAGCACACCATTCTAGAGGCAGCCTTATTCTTCCCAAAGCTTCTAAGCCAAAATAGGAACATGACAAGACTATAAAGACACAATGCTACAATTCTTGCCGGAACACAGCAGGCCTGGGCAGAAATACATTGAAATGCTAACAATGGCGGCTCAGGAGGCAGAAACATAAGAAAAGTCATTTTGTTTCTGGGTCTTTGTACTTTTTCCATGTACTTAGTAACCAGATGCATGGTTGTACAAGGAAACGGTCTCTGAGAACAGGAAAAGGGCTAGTTGAAGTAACTGTTGCAGATATCATTCAGGTAAACTGCTGGAAAAATTACACCTGCTAGATAGCTCCTGATAATCTCCACGCTCTGAGTGCCCCTGTATTCACATTTTTTCCCATCGGTTTCCTGAGCAGTCAACATGCTGTTTTCCTTCAAATCAGATCCAGGAAATGGTGAAAGGAGTTGTTGCACATGACCCCCAGTTCAGAACAGAGAAACCCATGTGAGATTATTACGACCAAGGAACGAGCTCCAAGTAGCATTAAAGCTCCCTTCCAGTGGGGCTGGCTTTTCTCAGACATGCTTTGAAACTCTTCAGGGAGGGCATGACTAATTTTATCAGAGTGGATAGAATTAGGGCACAGAGTGGGGAAGACAGAAAGACCCCGTTTCACATCAAGAGGCAAAGGGGGCTTCCCTGGTGGTCCGGCAGTAAAGAATCTGCCTGCCAATGCAGGGGACGCGGGTTCCGTCCCTGATCTGGGAAGATCCCACGTGACTCAGAGCAACTAAGTCCAAGAGCCACAGCTCCCGAGGCTGGGTGGTGCATGATGAAGACTGAGTTCCCCACGCCACGAGAAGGCCCTGCAGCAAGACGCTCACGCACAGCTAGAGAGAGCCTGAGCGGCAGTGAAGACCCAGGATGGCCAATAAATAACATTAAAAAAAAAAGATGGCTGACATGTGCACGCCATTCTAAAAAAAAAAAAACAAAGGAGGAAGGCCAAGAAAGGCCTCAGTGCTGGCCCCCGCAGACCCCCATCCGAGGCCAGCGAGCCCCCCGCCTCACAGCTGGGGAGCAGAGGCCACCGCCGGCCAGAAGGGGGGAGGAGGGGTGCGAACGACTGAAGCCTGTGTTACGGAGTCTGCAAAGCGACAGAAAGGCCACGGAGGCCAAGCTACTTCATGGCATTTTCATTTCATTACACATACAGGACCGTGACCTGCAGTTTCCTAAAGCCTCTGTTTACCTGCCAGAAACAAAGCTGAAAGCCACACATCCTTTTGTGTGGGGGACCTCCACGCGAATAATTCTGGTGGTGTCAGATAAACCCACAAGTAAAATTGACAGCCTCCTTCCTTGAGCCCGTGAAGGCCTCACGGTGCCCGCTGGGGCGCAGCGGGGGCTGAGCCAAGAGTCTGGGGCCACCACTGATTCATCGTGCACCTCGGTGACCCAGATTCAAGCCTCCTTTCTCAGTCTGTCTGACGGGAACTGCCAGGCTGACTTATAAAGCTGCTACAGAAATGAGAAAGGCCCAGGTCGTGACATGCGACAGCAAGCCGGCCGCTCCCTGGCTGGCCCAGCAGCGGCCACTGAGACGGCCAGCGGCCGCCGCGGCCTCCTCTGCCGTGACCAGCCTTCGGGTCCAGGACTTCTCTGCCGGTGAGAGGGGCTTCCAAGCACGCGGGCTGAGTGTCTGGATGACCTCTCCAGTCCCTGACCAAGCAGACCCCGGGTTGTTCCGAGGCCCCTGACAGCCCCGGCGCGGCTGGGCAGGCAAGACCAGAGGGTGCAGGCAGCCTGCAGCCTGTCCTCCCTTCACCCCTAGGATTCCCGGAGCTTGGTGTGAAGAAGGGGAGACAGCGCACGGGGAGGAAGTGCCTGTTATTCCGTCCAGGAGGAGAACGCTGAGGAGGGCGGGCGGAGGGCCGTGCGGAGGCCTGGCCCCACCCCGGGGGACCCCCGATGGCAGCGGGCGACCCTGCGCCGCGTCTGCCCGCCCAGGACCCGCCCTGGTCCCGTGTGCCTGCGCCCCCGTCTCTGCGTCGCTCCTCTGAGTCCCTCCTCCCTTCCGCCCAGAACGCTCCTTCCTAGACGCCTTCATCTTTTCTTTGTTCCCTGGCCTCTTCCTCAGGCCTCCAGCGCCTCGCTCGACCCCCAGAGCTGACTCTAAAAAGCACAAAGGACCGTGCATCCGAGGCATTGTCTGCTCTGTTCCGGCCTCCCCTTTAGACCCCGGGACCGCGCCGCTGCCCCGAGCCCCGCAGGCTGAGTGCAGCTGAGGGAGGAGCACGGCGGTGTCTGACTCACGCTGCTCGTGGGGGAAGGTAGTTCTGAATTCTCCTTCAACTGAGGTCGATCGTTTCCAGTCCTAAGTATTCTAAAACTTCAGACCTGATTTATGAAATTCTTGCTCAAATGCTCCTTCTAGTAAAATCTCCGGCGTCCAGTCCTGCCTCTGAAGCCCTTTGCGGTCAGCCCTGTGGGTGTGAGTGTCCTCGGCACGGGTCACGCAGATGCCTGGGGCTGATGCTGTGCGTTATGTGGCCCCAAAGTTTAGCACGCTCAGTTGCCCCTCTGAGTTCTAGGGTGTTCCCGCCTCGTCCTCTCTCCCGCCTCGTTCCTCCCAGGGTCTCACTCAGCAGCGGCCTTCCCACTTGAAAACTTTTGCGTCTCGGAGCTCTGCCCTGGAAAACCAAAGGGCGTTACTCATCAGAACTCACCTAAAATAGGAGTCGGGACCTCCCGATGCACACCTGAGGGTCTCCCCTGGGAGAAAAGCGGTGGGGTGGGCTCTGCAGGATCTATTTTCGCTGCAGAGGCTCTTTTCTGTTAATTTCCTCTTTCTCAGTTTGTCTTCGAGGGTTGATGCTCTTAGATAAGAGACCTCTAGGTAAGGGAGGGCTCAGAAGGTTTGATGTGTTTAATAAGAGACCGAACCAAAGATTAAGGCAAATGCCTAAGTGCTGTCAAATGAACAGGATGACAGTACTTTTTAATGACACAAATACATGAACCCACAGCAGAGTGAAACCCATCACCACCTATTTGTCACTTTCACTTGAAAGATGGTTGTGTCACGAGAAGGTCTTCCGGTGAATGGCCGCACTGTCCAGCCCCTTGAAGCAGCCCCATGAACACATCCACCAGTAGATGCACACCCCCGCACCCGCCCGCGGGCCCTGCCCTCCTGCGGAGCCGGCTCCAGGCCGCCCGGTCTTCTGCCCGTCTCCCCGCCACTGCGGCGCTCTTGCCCATCTGCGTGGGAGCTGCTCTGCCCGTCCCCTCACCTAGACCCCACCCCGAGCTCTGGGGCAGTTCCTACCACGGGCCACCCCGGCCAGCACTCTCCCCTCCCCCGGGCCCGCACCCCATCCGCATTGCTGTCCGCCAGCACCCCATTCCGCACACAGTAGCCCAGCACGGGTGCAAACAGTAAGTTAAGGAGACCGCGTCTGGTTTGGGTTTGCAGAGTCTGTGTTTCTCCTTCACAGGCAAGGCTCACGTGTGTGATCGCTCTTTCCAAGGTGGCGGTGGCTTATTAGGTCCTTTGCCAGTGTTTCCACAGCCTTTTCACAAGAGCTGGTCACCATCAGCGGGTTCCAGGAGGCTTGAAGGGAGTGTGTTCCCTCCACGCCACCCATGGACAGAGTGGCTTTTTCTAACCCTTTAGTCACACCTGCTCCCAGGACTGCAGTTAGAATATAACGTCAGATTACATAAACAATAGCGGGGACACCTCTGGGACAGCAGCCCGCACACCGTGGACTCAACACAAGCCAGCGTCTCTCCTTCTCCCCTCAGAGCATGACTAAGAGGTCAAAGTGTCGACCAGGATGATACAGAGCTGCTCAACGCTCTTTTACCTTCAACACATTAAACCGCCGAGACTACAGGGATACCGCGTTTTCTAGATTCCAAGATGAAATAAAAACTTACCGACAGAGGAGTAGCTTCTTATTCCACAAAGGAAGGGTCCCAGAGCTGTCCCTGGTGAAGCTCAGGTCTCTTGAATCCTCAGACTTCTCTGTGCCAGCGTAAAGCCCCCGGCCCTTGTGCTGACGGAAGCAGCTCGGAGGCGGACTTTCTAGTGCCTGCGCCTCAGGTGTCCCTGCGCTCATTCTGCGCCCACGTGCTGGGCGGTGTGGGGAACGCCTCACCACAAACTTTATTCCTCCAGCGCATACCTCAGGTCATAGAAAGGCAGAAAATAAGATGGGCGGGGGGGAGGAAGGCAAGCTTATGCAACTAGGTCACTTAATAATTTCAATTTTAGACAAAAAAAAATTTTTTTTCTTGTTTCAGAATTATTGGTCTGTGGAATACTTTTTATTCTTCTTGGAAATTGCAAATTAATCAGAATGACTACAAAGTTCTCTGAAAAGTTTCACATAAAGCCTAGTGAACTTTATAGACAACTACTTACATTCTGGACTGTAAAGAACAAAAAGCCTAAAACACACACACACACACACATGACTATGCTTTAAAGGTGAAGATGATAAATAGAGAATCAGCACATCGCAAATAATGTAGGTCAGTGGTCATCTCCAAAAGAAGGCATAACCCAGTCATAAAGGAAGAATACCCCCATTTCCTACAGTTTGCAGCCGTGATGTCGTCACTTGACCTGTGAGCCTCTGTACCCCCAGAGCAACTGTTCGGTCTAGGGACAGTCCTGTAATTTGAGGGGAATCTGGGGCACCTTCCCTGAAACCTAAAATAGAATGAGTGGAGCCACAACCCCCCCCCCACCGTGGAAAGTCCTAAACTGGCCCTTGATAGAAAACACCAGTGACCCTGATGGGCAAGAAGTGAGAACCTCCCTCCTTGGTTTGTCCAACCGTCTGCTTTCTTTCCCACAAGACTATACGTAGTACTGTTAATGTTAATTAACACGTCTAATAACATCAGAAGCAAATCTTCATATTTATCTTTTCACTTAATCCTGACAAACGCTTTTGGCAAAGCATTTTCCCGAGGGAAAGAAACGAGCCCGTAAAGATGTTTAAGTAGTTTTCTCCAGAGTCTATAAATCAGGAGTAGTGGATTTGCAAAACCAGGCCTGGGTCTTCTAAGTCCTCTACACCAAACCACAGTTCATTTGTGCTTTCAGCAAATAGTTACTGAGCTCCATTACGTGCTGAGAAGCTTTCTAGGCCAACGTGCTGTAGCTGTGACCGAAACAGATAAAATCGTTCACTTTATGGGGTTTACATTATAAACAAAATCAATAAATAAAACGGTACACAATCCGGTAGACGGTGACGAGTGCCTTGGGGGGAAATCAGGCAGACAGGTCAGCTAGCGATCACCCATCAGGAAAGGTGATCCTGGGAGCGGGTGTTTCAGGACACGGCGTCCCTGATGCAGACAGACACCCACCTGACACGTTCAGGGGAAATCTAGGCGGCGGTGGGACGGGACTGAGCCCAGGAAGTGGGGGAGTGTCGGGGTCCAAGCGGCCGAGGGGGCCGGGCTGCGGAGCCCTCCAGTCTGCCGTGATGACTTAACCGTCTCCTCAGGGGGAGGTGGGAAGCTTCCGGAGGTTTTGAGTGACACTACATGTTAAGGACTGCTGGACTTACGTTTTAAGAAGATGACTCTGGGGGCAATGTGAAATGTAGATGAAAGGGAGCCTAGGTGGAATTAGGAAGGACATCCCAGTAAGATATGACGTGTCCATATCGGAGATAAAGTCAACAAGGTTTGCTGGCAGACTGGACATAGGATTTGAAAGAAACAGAAGTGCAGAAGGTGACTCCAGGTGTTTGACATGAACAGTAGAAGGATTGTTGCTGTTCAGTCACTAAGTCATGTCCAACCCCAAGGACTGCAGCACGCCAGGCCTCCCTGTCCATCACCAACTCCCGGAGTCCACCCAAACTCATGTCCATTGAGTCAGTGATGCCATCGAACCATCTCATCCTCTGTCGTCCCCTTCTCCTCCTGCCTTCAACCTTCCCCAGCATCAGGGTCTTTTCCAATGAGTCAGTTCTTTGTATCAGGTGGCCAAAGTATTGGAGTTTCCACTTCAGCATCAGTCCTTCCAATGAATATTCAGGGTTGATTTCCTTTAGGATGGACTGGTTTGATTTCCTCACTGTCCAAGGGACTCTCAAGAGTCTTCCGCAGCACCACAGTTTGAAAGCATCAATTGTTTGGCAATCAGCCTTCTTTATGGATCTGTTGCTGTTTAGCTGCTCAGTCGTGTCCGACTCTTTGTGACCTCATGGACTGCAGCACACCAGGCCTCCCTGTCCTTCACCATCTTCCAGAGTTTGCTCAAACTCATATCCATTGAGTGGGTGATACCATCCAACCATCTCATCCTCTATCACCCTCTTCTCCTCCTGCCCGCAATCTTTTCCAACATCAGTGTCTTTTCCAATGAGTTGGCTCTTTGCATCAGGTGACCAAAGTATTGGAGCTTCTGCTTCACCATCAGTCCTTCCAACAAATATTCAGGGTTTGTTTCCTCTAGGGTTGACTGGTTTGATTCCCTAGGAGTCCAAGGAACTCTCTCAAGAGTCTTCTCCAACACCACAGTTCAAAAGCATCAATGGATGGATTTGATTAAATAAAATCACAGAAGAAGCAGGTTGAGGGTGGAGGAGAATATCAGGAAACTGGTTAGGAACTTAAGAAGTGAGAGATACCTATTAGACTATTCCAGTGGAAACATCAATACAACAAATAATTGCTTACCTGAATATAAACCTCCGAGGACAGCGCTGGCTGGAGAGGAAAATTTAGGAGCCATGAGCTCTCGGGTGGATGAGATCACCAAGGGAGAAGGTATAGATGGATAAGAGAAGAGGTCCGGGGCCTGAGATCTGGAGGCCAAGCACACAGGTATTTCAAGAAGGGGAAACTCGTCAACTGTGTCAACCCTGCTAGCAGATCAAGCAGCACAAACTGAGAAAAGTGACCACTAGGTTCAGCAGCATGCAATCGCTGCAAGCTTGACAGTGTTTGTTGAGTGGTAGGGGAACCTAACTGGAAGAGAGCGGGAGATAGGAGAAAATGCAAACCCTCACTTCAGGGAGCTTGCCCAAGAGGAAAGAGAGAAATGGCAGGCGCTGGAGACGCCGCTGGAATCCAAACATCTGTTGTTAAGATGGGAGAGATGAGCGGTCTTTATATCCTGGTGGGAATGATCCAGTGAGGGGGGAAATGTCGCCTCTGCAAGGAGGAGAAGGGAGGCGCACTCCCCCTCCGCTTCGTGTGGACGGAGGAGCCTGGGGGCCCGTGAGGGACTTCCTCAGCGGCAGGCAGCGCCCACGGGCACAGCACACGGGAGAGTGTGGTCGTGGGTGCTCATGCCGGCTCTTTTCTGATTTTCTGATGACACCTCCTTTTCTAGACACAGTCATCGTGTAGGCACAGGAGCTGCAGAGAGCGGAACTCAGCCGGAGCTGTGGTTCAGCCAGCTGAGTAAGACAGAGGGCCAGTGGGCTGTGCAATAAAAGCGTCCTGTCGCCTTCTAACCATCCAGTCCCTCCAGCCTGAGATGGTCCAGCGATGGCCCTAGACAGGCTCCCTGAAATGGAGCCTAGTGGTCACCATCGGTTTCAGACATGGGTTTGCTGAACGCACGGCTGACATTGCTCTCTGTGCTCACAGCGTCTCTGACAGTGGTTCCAAGGAGACACTCTGGTGGGATGTTAATTGCCCTCTTTGATGTCAAGTGCAGCTTCCCTGGTGGCTGCCTGCAATGTGGGAGACCCGCGTTCAGTCCCTGGGTTGGGAAGATCCCCTGGAGAAGGGAGAGGCTACCCACTCCAGTATTCTTGCCTGGAGAATTCCGTGGACTCTATAGTCCACAGGGTCTCAGAGAATCAGACACAACAGAGGGGCATTCACTTTCACTACGTTCTAGGATTCTGATATTTAGCAAGCAAGCCCATGCTTGTATAGCAATGTCTTGATAATTATTGACACATCAGGCTGTTTGTACTGTGGATACATTTCAGAAAGGTAGAAACGCTATTTAAGCAAAAGGACAGCAAAGTTGCTTGTAGATTCTTGAGCAGCACAGTAAGTAGTATAAGCAATCTTGCAGTTACCTGTCCTTGTTGGTTAGGAAAATTTATTAATGGTGCTTGTGGACAAACAAATATAGTCAGAGACCAATCTGGACTAGAGTTTGGGAGACACTGTGTGTGTGCGTGTGTGTGCACGCGCACGCCCAGTTGCTCAGTTACGCCAGACTGTTTTGTGATTCCATGGACTATAACCATCCAGGCTCCTCCATGGAATTTGCCAGGCAAGAATACTGGAGTATTCCCTTCTCCAGCGGATGTTCCCAGCCCAGGGACCACGCCCTCATCTCTTGCTCTGGCAGGCGGATTCTTTACCACTGAGCCGCCTGGGATGCTTAATAAAATAACACGAGCGTAGGAACACATGTCACCCATGTCTGATCCATGTCAATGTGTGGCAAAAACCGCTGCAATACTGTAAAGTGATTAGCCTCCAATTTAAATAAATAAATAAATACACAAGCATAAATTTCTCGTATTTAATGTTAGGTTTTCCTGGCCTTTTCTGTGTTGTAACCGGCACTCCAATACCCCCAAATGTTAAGTACAGTTCTGTTGCCTACATTAGACTTATGTTGGAGGTGCTTTCCAGGAATGAAGAAGAGTCAGCTTCAGAATCAGGCACCCACGGGGGAAACAGAAGCACGCGAGGGATCAGGAGATGTGAGCCGAGCAAGTGGCTGCCCAGGCCCCTGACACCCAGGCATCTCCCTCGAGAGGCCTGCCGTGGTCCCAGTTTGCGGTCGGGCTTTCAATACGCGGCAAATAAGCACGAGTTTGGAAGGTGATCTTGAGCTCTTCTCCGTCAGCCTCTTCCTTGACGCTTTACGTACTGGAATCATTTAGTCACCTGCACAGTGGAGAAGAATAGCCCCTCAGAGAGCACCCGGGCCCTCTACTCTGGTGCTTTCATGGCCAAGAGGACTCAGAGAGAGGGAAGTTGCATGGCTTTGAAAAGACACATAAGATTCAGAGGGTGGGGGACGAGTCTTCTGCTACCAAAAGGGCTGTGTTCTCAGGGATGTTCCTGGGCACCCAGGCATCTGGGTTGAAACCCCTTACCCCAGGGAGGAAGGTCCCACTCTGTCGGGCCTCTCTGAGGTTTGAAGTGACACACGGGACTGTCTTATCCTCAACCGTTTCCTGGAAGACCTGAACAGATGCCAGCTCTCGGTGGGTCCAAGAACGAGACGGGACTTTCCAGGGTGGTCCAGGCTGGAGTGCTTGCTGCTGCTCCAGTGGTGGATCCAAGAGAGGGCTTTGGCTTCCCCATCTTAGTGGCCCTCAGGCCTGGACTGAGCCCTGAGCTTTATTCCCACAGCATGAGAAAGACCAGTTCTTAAACGAGATCTTACTGAAGGTTGAGTGTTAATAAGAGGAGGCTATGATCCCCGTAGAAACGCAAGTTGCTATGAGAAGTGACTTCCTAATTGCAGGGCCGTCCTCAGGGGACCCTCAGAGACCCTCTGCCTGGCTCCTGGGCGCTCACCTGGCTTCCTCCATATGGGCAGAGCACCAGGCCCGCCCACTGGAAGGGAGTCGGTCAGCCTCGGAGCCCACGTCAGGCCCCGAGGGGAGGAAGGTGCTTCCCCGTGCCCCTGTGGCCCTGAGTTTTCAGTCTGAGCTCTCTGTCTCAGGACAGTTAAGGGCAGCAACTTCCACCGCACTCAGGAACCGTGAGCATCACCACCTCATCCAGGACCCCTGGGAACCTGCCCCACCCCTTCCCGGGAACGGCCACCTCTCGGCATGAGGACCAGTTCGCAGGGTGACACGTCACTCTCAAACATCACACTTCCTGGACGACCTCGCCCATCCAGCCCGGGCCAGCTGCCCCAGGCCCCACCCGGGGTCCGGCACAGACTCCTCCAGCTCCAGGCGGAGGTCACACGGCACGTCTGTCTTTCAGCCAGACCTCCTAAAAGCCCTCCCCAGAGAACTGATAACCCTCCCACCAAGCAGGAAGCAGGGAGTCCTAGTAGGATAGACTGCAAGCTCACAAGTTCCTCCAGGAAGCGTCTGATTCTGCAGAAACAGGCTGTGACACACACCTGTCCGCGTGACGCCCGGCACCCGAGGCATTCGGACGGTCCTGCATTCACATTCCTCGTGACATTTGGAATCTCCTGCATTCACATTCCTCGCGACATTTGGAAGTTCCTGCATTCACATTCCTCGCGTCCTTCCAGAAGTAACGGCGTGGGTTCACTGAGAAGCCTGCTGGCGGGGAGACGGTTTCAACGATGTTCAAGTCTCTGTCTCTTTAAAACGGAAATTCACTCAAACTTTGAAATTTTTCATCAGGGCATCATGATGCAGTTAGAACTGCGACAGCCTGCAAAGGTGGTAACTGGGTTACCTGTTAGGCCCTTGCTGTATGCACACAGTTCGCTTCGTCTCTGCTCACAGTCTCCCGAGAGGTCCCCGTTACTGTGCTCCTTTACTGACGAGCACACACTGATTCAGACAAAGCAGACCTTTCGTTCTGTTTCCCACGCCACTCCCTACAAGGGGACTGAGAATTGTGCCAGTATCGATATCCCTTCCAAGGAGGTCTCAAGGGCATCTTTCACTATCTTAAACTTGTCAGTTATCTTTTGACAATATCTGCCACTGCTGAAAAAAAAATTTAGTAAGAGCCAAAAAAGACATTCAGCTTGGAAGGAAACAGCAAGATTGCCAAGTTTAAGTATTACAATTCATCACCAATAAAACATTCACTCAGCCAGATGGTGAAGAGAGGCTGTAGCAAGTGACACGGTTTCCCCACATTCTTTTATCCCGATGGCTTACTTTATATTCACTGTTTCTACGCACCAGGTTGTAGAATACCTCCACTAGACTCAGAGGGTGCTTCCAGCAAACCCCAAACCAAGACAGAACTTATGAAATACAAAAACATTGTCACAATTTCATTTTGGGATAAATGTATCCTTCTGCCTCAATAAATATTTTTTAATACATTCAAAACACATTTTACAACTAAGGGATTTGCTCTTGTTTGTTGAAATACACAATTTCAAGGATGCCAGTGGGATCCTAGCAGAATAAACAGAAAAGTCACTTGGAAATAGGGCTTTTTGCATGTTTGTGAAAAACTAGTGCTAATCACAAATTCATTTATTCTGAAAGAATGAAGTAGATCTACTTTCTCCCCCCTTGAGCAAATCAGAACTATGTTATAGATTTGGTGATTTTTGAATAAGAACCATCAACTACTATAGAAAAAAAAAAAGTACATTTGAATTGGGAAGGTGAGAACATGCAGCCTGAGGCCAGGAGTTTGGAGATTCAGTGTGAATATGCTAACGAAGATTTATTCATGGCAATTACTTTTGTTAATACATATCGAGATCTAATTATTTAGAAATATTGCCTGCTGGCATCTAATATCATGTATTGGATTGCCAGAATTATTAATTAAAAGCCAGAATTATTAATTAAAAGCAAAGTTTCAATTATTAGAAAGAAAGGCTTAATCACTCATCTGCTTGCTTTCTCTCCCACCTTCTTAAGAAAAGGTGCCAATTTGAAGTCTTGACTCAGTGAGCTGACCACCCCCACATTAACCTTATTATTTCTTGTAACTAAATGTCTGAGCATCTGTCACATTAGGGCATTCAGATAGGAGCTGTCAAGAACAAGGTTTCCAGTGGTTTTGCCTGTTTCTGCATGTTGGTGATTCAGAACCAATATATGTTCAAATATTAAAGTTTTAATAAATAAAAATAAAAGGTTAACCAAGGTAATGCTTGATGTTAAAAGGGCAGTGATTATAAAAATAAAATATTGATTTCACTGGCTGTACCATTCAGCCAACAAACATATGTCTCTCATCTCTTATTCTCATTAAATAATTTCTTCCAAATCCTCTTTTATGTTTCTCTCCTTTACAAAGATACTAGTTTTCTATTTTCCTTATCGTCATCATGTCTTACCTCTCTAAGTGGGCAGAAAATGTGAAGAAACCTTCTGTGGCCAATTTGCACTCTTAGGAAGCAGTGGCCGGGGGTGGATGGAATGCGAAGGCAGGGAGAGTTAGAACCTGTGGGCTTCACCCAGATCCACGCCCACCTCTAATCCCCGGAGATGCTTCGAGTGTCACAGCAATCCCCGGAGATGCTTCGAATGTCACCGCTTGCCCGTAAAGTTGATCAGAGCAAAACGGATCTGCCCCAGAGCCACAAGCTGTGCTCACGTCCTTAGTCTCCTTCACCTTCAGGCAGCGTCTGAGTCTTTCCCCTGACACTCATGACTGCAGATTGAGGACCGATCCTGGGTCTGGGTTTCTCTGGGTTCCCCCGTGTCCTGACACAGACACTCATGACTGCAGATTGAGGACCGATCCTGGGTCTGGGTTTCTCTGGGTTCCCCCGTGTCCTGACACAGACACTCATGACTGCAGATTGAGGACCGATCCTGGGTCTGGGTTTCTCTGGGCTCCCCCGTGTCCAGACACAGGACATGCATCTCTGGCAGAAGCCTCACAGAGTTACCCTGTGCTTTCCCCAAACAGCTGCCCCGTCCCGTGGCTTAGACTCACCGTGACCACGTGTTGGACCTGGTATCAGCCAGGCTTCCCACTGCCAGGTCATTCTTTGCCCTTTTGTAATGAGTGAGATTTTACGAGGGGACACTTTGAGACTGTAAAGAGTCTACCCTCATCAGACCTAGAGCCGGTTCCCACGTACATGGGTATTTCCTGGATTACTTATTACTAGGAGTACACCCAATGGTCACACTGCCATCCACCTGTCTGGTGTTCTGCCTCCAGAAGCATTCTCATCTCCCTGCTTGTTTATGTCAGATCAGGCTCATGGATTCCTATTTTACTCAGTAGGTTACTCAATAACCCATTATTATTTTCATTAATAGTAACATCATTACATAATAAAGCAATCTTCCTCCAATTAAAGAATAAAAATAATACCATATTTGTTCTGATGTAAAAGCCTCTTCAGGTTTGACCAGCCTGAGCCCTTGCAAGCTGAGCCTACATCCTCTTGACATTACATCACTGTCTGAGCATTTCTTTACTTCCTGTTTTCAGCCCATACTTCAACTTCCCGACTCCAGCCCTGGGATCTGCCATTTCTCCAGTTTGGCTCCTTGTGGTGGAGAATGCTACCTGGAAACTAACACATGGGCTCACAGCACCACTGCATTTCCTGGGGGCTCGGGGGATAAAGAATCTGCCTGCAGTGCAGGAGACCTGGGTTGGAAAGATCCCCTGGAGAAGGGAATGTCAACCCACTCCAGTATTCTTGCCTGGGAAGTCTCATGGGCAGAGGAGCCCGTCAGGCTACAGTCCCTGGGGTCGCAGAGAGCTGGACACGACTGAGCACACAGCCATGCACGACACTCACATCTACGTCTGTCTGCATAGGTTGAAACCATGACTGCCACCAATATCTCCAGTTTTAAATCAGCACTGAACGGTTCTTCCGAGGCTTCTCTCTTTCCACATTCATAAATTCCTTCTTCGACCTGAGAAACGGGGATTCCAGTAATGTCAGGTTATTGACCAAGTTGATCTCTCCTCTCTCTGTGGAACAGTCTCCCATCACCACCGCTGCTCTCCTGGGCAGCTACCCTCTCACCTTGCTTTGGTTCTGATACGCCACGCTGGGTTGCCATCCACACTCCACACAGACACCCTCCTTAACCCATTTGGGATCTGGACCAGGTGTCCACAGACCCAACTCCCAAGGGCTCTTGAATACTAACTCAAACCTAAGTGACTCTGCAGGATTGCCGTGCACAGTTGCACAGGATGTGCACTGCACAACTCCAGGGATCATAGTCTCTGTTTTTGAGCTGCCACCTTGGACCATAGTTTCCTTTCCAGGCTTCTTGACTTTCTTCAGATATTACTAACATAACAGCACTTACGAGGAGATATCTAAAACAGTGAACTCATGAGCTGTGTTTTTTCTCAACCATCTGATAAAAATTTTAAATGAATAAAATTGTCCTCACATCTTTTTCTTTCACTTACTTGGCCAATACTTACCAGGTAGCTGCTTTGCACTAAAATACGGATTTTTAAATTAAGATTTATTAGGACTTTTCCAAGTCTAGACCTCCATTCTTCATTCATTCCCTGGAATCAAAACGTCTTCCAGGGTCAAGACCTTCAGTTTCTGGGATATTTCCCTGGATGTACAAAAGTGAGAGAAATGGCTTTTGTCCACAACTAGTCATTCTGGTTTTTACCAGTAAAAGTCATCACTTACATACTTTCTCTAAGCAACCTGTAAACAAAGTCTGTTCTTTGTTGTTGTTGTTATTCACAAAAGCTTTTGTCTGTTACTTTCTCCCCAAGTCACCCCACTCACTTCCTGGGGGTCGTGGTTTTAACCAAGCAAGCCCCGGTGTTCTGGCTGCCACCATTGACGGGAAGGCCCTACACCACAGGCCCTTTCTGGGTCGTCCTGCCCCCAGGCTGGCTTCCTCTGCCCACACTGCTCTTGGTGGCAGACACAGCCCATCCTAGCTGCCCAAGTCTCTGTGTCGGCTGCCCCGTTGGCAGGACACGTCTAGGATGGTAACTGCGTTTCCCACCGGACGTCATGAGACCCTAGCTGCTCACAGGTTCATTTACTGCTTCTGAACTGGCTGCCCCTGCAGCCTTTGTAGGAGGAAGGGAGACAGAATGCTTACACGGGGCTCAAGGGGGAGGGTGCAGTCATGGCATTTTTAGTTCTAAGCGTTTTTCTTTCTTTTATTTTGGCAGACTCTTGTAGGTTTTCTCTGTCTAATATCATGGTATCTGCAAATGGAAACAACTTTACTTCCTCTTTTCTGATTTAGATGTCTTGTTTCTTTTTTCTTGCCTAATTGCTCTGACTAGGACTTCCAGTACTATGTTGAATAAAAGTGGTGAGAATGGACATCCTTTCTTGTTCCTGATCTTTGAGATAAAGCTTTCAGCGCTTCACCTGTGAGTATGATGTTAGCTGTAGGCTTTTCATACCTGGCCTTTATTATGTTGAGATACATTACCTCTATACCTAGTTGGATGAGAATTTTTGTTGTAAAAGTATGTTGAATTTTGTCAAATGTTTGCTCTGCATCAATTGAGGTGACAATATTATCTTTATCATTCATTTTTGCTAATGTGATAAATCACAATAATTAACCTGTCAATGTTTAACCATTGTTGCATTACTGAAAAAAAATCCCACTTGATCATGGTGTGTAATCTATTCAAAGTATTATTTAAATGACTTTGCTTGTATTTTACTGAGGATTTTTGCATCTGTGTTAAGCAAAGATATTGGCCTGTGATTTCTTTTCTTGTAATGCCTTTTTCTGGTATCAGGGTAATGTTGGTCTCATAAAAT